CTATGGATAAACTAACTAATTTTAGAGCACATTTTGAAACCTACATATTTCGTGATTCGTTTAGTTATTTGTTTCCTCTACATTTGTGACATTTGTTGAATACTAGTAATGCACGACATGCGTTGTACGTGAATATATTTAAATAATAATTTATTATAAAAATTAAGTTATATTTTTAATTTATTTGAATAATAAATTTTGTGTCAAGATAATTAAATTTATATTAATTATTTTTAAAAATAATTATTGATTTATTATAGCCCTCTTTGAGTACCTCATTTGTCATTTTTTTAGGTATCTTTTCGGATTCTTTAAACATTTTCTCTATTGTTTATAGTAGATTTTCATTGTGAAATTGCCATTTTTAAGTATTTTCATATCTAAATATATTATTATATTATTTTATCAAAGAGATTGAATAATTATAAATTATTGTTTGTGTTATGATATTATGATATTGTTGCATACAAAAGAAAATCAAATGTGACATATATTTGACAATAAAATTTGATCTGCCAACAACATGTATATAATAATATAATATAGCTTGGACTTTAATTTTTTATATAAATAGATATAAATATAGTAAAATTCGATTTGCCAACAACATGTATATAATAATAGAATATAGATTGAACTTTTTTTTATATATAAATAGATATAGATATAGAAAATATATGTAAGTATATTACTAATAAATGAGTCCATAAGAACTTAGAAGTCAAATGTTACTAATAAAATAGTTCTTATAAGATTGTTATTCTTGAGTATTTACACATCTAAATATGTTATTCTATTTTTTTCAAAGAAATTAATTAAATTATAAATTATTGTTTGTATTATAATATAATGATATTGTTAAATAAAAAAAATCAAATGTGACATATTTGATAGTAAAATTCGATATGTCAACAACATTTATATAATAATAGAATATAGATTAGACTTTATTTTTTTATATAAATAGACATTGATATAGAAACTGTATATAAGTGTACTACTAATAAATAAGTCAACAACAATTTGTAAGTTAAATGTTATTAATAAAAGAGTCTCAAAGAACTTAGAAGTCAAATAAGTATTAAAAATAAAAATCATATGAAAGTGATATATGGGTTGAATTGACTTTATAATAATAATTCGGAATAAATTAGGAAATCAAATTTTTTTTACAGATGTTAATATATATATATATATATATATATATATATATATATATATATATATAATAGCCTTAACATCACGCTCTTAAGGTTTATCAGTTACAATATTCTAGAAAAAGTCTATAAAAAGATTCATATCTTCCCTATTAAATTTTTCTCCTTCTCCGTTAGTAGATCATTTATCAATGTGTATTAGGATAAGATTCACTTAAATACAATAAGACTCACTTGAATTCATAGACATACGATTTTTGTATAAAATTAAACATCTACACTCAACTTTCACTCCCACATGTTTAAAATTCCCACGCATTCATTGCAATTAGGGTTCACGTGCTTATATTTGACTGGGGGTGATTGATTGGTGTGTGTATTTGACTTGGGGGTCATTGATTGGTGTGTGCGTACTTGTTTGGTAATAAGTGATTCAGTCCTGGGTTTCTATTGTGGTTTCGTGTTATTGTGGATGGATTTGTTCCTATATTATTGATTAATGGTTCACTTTTGTTTTCCCTTTTTTTATCCAATGACTCTCTATTTTCTATTTATTTTCTCTCTCTCTTTCTCTCTCTCTTGTGTGTAGGGGAAATCACCTCTTCATAGATTAGGGTAGGCATAATGAATAATATAGTAGATATAAAATGAGATAAAGAATAAAAAACACATTCTCCTGAATGATATTACAAAGTTGAGAATTTATTATTTAGGTAAGTTACTATAAATGGTTTTTGTTCAACTTGCAACAATATTATTTATTTATATGGAAAATAACATACATTTGGCACTCCTGTTTAATGAATTTAGTTGTAGATTGAATACCTATAATGGATAAACTAACTAATTTTAGAACACATATCGAAACCTACAAATTTCGTGATTCGTTTAGTTATTTGTTTTCTCTATATTTGTGACATTTTTTGAATATATAAAAGCCTTGGCATCATGTTCTTAGGTTTTATCAGATGCAATATTCCTGAAAAGTCTATAAAAAGATTCATATCTTCCCCATTAAATTTCTTTCCTTCTTTGTTAGTATATCATTTATCAATGTGTATTATTGTAAGATTCACTTAAATACAATAAGACTCACTTGAATTTATACACAGACGATTTTTCCTTATAAATATGTAGAAAAAATAGAATAAAACTGATCTTACTCCCACTATAGAATTTTTTTTCCAAAGGTTACCTAGACTTCTATCATCAAAGTAGAATAACATTCCACCAAAAGTATTTTCACATCGAATCCCATCCCATCATTTTTTTGAGTGTCTGAGACAAGCTCTCATGAATAAATGCTACAATTGCATGATGTTTTTGTCATATTTTGACATAAGGTACATTCAAAGACAGAGCTAGGATTCTATTTTGAAATTCAAGTATAAAAAAGATATAAAATTTCAAGACTAAATTACTTGAAACATAAAATCGGGATTGTTCAACCTTAACAAAACACGAACAAAAACTACACAAAATAATTGTAATTTTGTATATTTTACCTCGACCACATTAAAGCGGAGTATGCCGTTCTTTTAAATCCCAAAATTTATCTATACTTGATTATTTCAATATTAAATATTTAGTAGCAATTTTTTTTTCATTTTATTATAAAGCTCGATTGAGATCATTTTTATCTTGTTGAGGAATTTTGGGTTAACGCATTCTTTTGGATTAAGGTATTTTACGATTTGCATTTGATTTTGTTATCATGTTACATAACACTACATTAACAAAAAATAGTGAAGATCAATTATAAAATTATATTTACAAAATAAGGGCAATGTACTAAATGTAATCATTGTCTTTGTCAAATGTATGAGTAAATGTAAGACAGCGCTCCCCTATAACCAATGTAGCTACTTCATTGGGTATATTGGATGGGATTAGCGAGTAAATGTCTAATCTTATATATCGGGGTGCATAAAAATAAGTATTGCACATTATAAGTTAGGCGATCTCACTTTATAGCTTGAAAAATATCTCACATTTTATCTTTAATGTCATAAAATAGTTACAATGTAGCTTTCACACTAACTTTCACCATTGTTTTTGTCAAATTATCATGGGTTGCATCACAACAATAGTAGTGTAAATGCCCTAAGTTGGGGGACGGCCATAATAGAAAATCTATTATTTTTTCACCCCTCTCTTTAGATATCTAGAGATAGAGATCTAACTAGATTTGATAATCTTTAGGAGTGGTTTAGTGATTGAGGCTAATTTTTAATAACTCAGATATCTCAGGTTCAATCCTTTAAGGACATGCTCTAACATAACTCAAGCTATAACAATCTACTAAGTTTGTAAAAATAGTCGGTACAAACTTAAACACCATATAACAAAAAAAAAAATATGTAATAAGATTTGATAGAAAAAACAAAGAAAGTTAATGGGAGGAGCACATTTCAACTATTTAGTGACATTAAAGGTGCAAATGTAAAAAGAAAAATTTTTAAGGATACAAGTAAAAAATCTTAAAATGTTTGAGGCTATAAAGTAATAAGTATTATTCTCCTTTGCAAATTTAAAACTAACAAATTTCAACAGGGACGATATAAGAAAAACTCCAACGTTGCTAGCTATTTCTCTTTTTTAGCTATTTTCGCGAGCAATACTTAAAAAATCAGCTCCAACCCAGTAGTCATTCACCTCGCTAAAATCTAATAAGTTAAATTTGCTCGCCAGATTTTGAGAGGAGAAATTGCTCGTCACTTGCTGTTACTCTTTCCTGCTGCTCCTTGCTGCTGCGTACAAAAGTTCTTCAACTGTGAACGAGATATTTATCTCTCCCTCCTCTTGCTGCTCCTTGTTGTTGTTGGCTATTGGTAGTGATCTCGTCTCTGTCTTCATCGTCTTTTCCAAGGGTTGGTCCAGATAATCTTCTTCATCTCCCACTCCCAAGTTACAAATTCCCTCCCCCCAATTTCAAAACTCACTTCCCCCCGCCTCCCCAAACCCATTCTGAAAACCCCTTCCCCCAATTTAAAAAAAATTCCCTTGTCTAAAACCCAAATTCTAAAAATTCCATCCTCCAAATATAGAAAACTCCATTGTATAATGAAATATTTAATTTTAGACCCTATGAAATATTAATGTAAATATTTGTGAAAATTTTAAATTATATTATTAAGCTATGGGGGATTTTTGAATTATATTATTAAAATTTAGTTAAAATTAATTGAAAAATTTAACTAAAATAGAAAGTATAATTAGAATAGATAATATAATATTTAAATAAGTATATTTTTGACTAAAAACGGGGTTAGAGTTGGTCTAAAAATGGAGGTGGGAATAAACCCCGTTATGTACCGGACAATCTTTTCTTGTGGTTAGTGCACAATCATATTAACGTTGGAGTGATCGGTATAAACCATTCTTTCGTATCTATGAGGAATCTTTGCTTAGGTGATATCTATCTCTATGTTTCTAATAATAAACTGTCTTATTTCCATATTGGGTTACCTTCGATGATGCTGATATTCTATTTCTGGTAATTATTTTGTGCAGAGATAGTTATGTATATGAATGGAGGCTACTTGGGTTCTAAGTAAAACGAGGGGGGAAAAATGAAAACACAGTGTAAAACTCCAATTCCTACCCACAAAATTTTACCAGAGTAAAATTCCCGGACCCCCCTCTGCTATTTTTTCATGTAAAGCTATATGCTTTGTATGATCACCGTTAATCTCAGTTGGGCATTGGTTATCAGTTGAGAAGTGGTTAGTCAATTGCCAACATATCAAATCATCAATATGTTTCTGTGTTTTGTAATTGGGTAATTCTTTGTGTAGCCAAGGTGTTTGACAGTATGCTTTAATGGCAGGAATATAACGTACAATGAGCAAGAGACCTCCGCCAGACCCTGTGGCAGTGCTGAGAGGCCATCGCGCTTCTGTGATGGATGTTTATTTTCACCCATTTAAAAATTTATTATTCACCGGGTACAAGTTCGCTTCTTGATTGAATTAGTTTTATTCATGTACATATAAATTTATGTGGGTGGGTGTGTGTCTTAATTAGTGGGGTTGGATTGCAGTTCTGCAGATGGCGAGTTGCGTATTTGGGATACAGTACAACATCGGACTTTATCATCTGCGTGGTACTGTTCTAAAAAGTTTTGGGTGGTTGTATGGATCTAATGAACCTATTACACATGTCTTTTTCAAAGATCATGCTATTGTGAGTTATATGTTCCAAAAATTGATTACAGGGTGCACAGTGCTGCACATGGGATCATTAGTGTTGCAACTAGCCCTTTGCTTGGAAACAACAAAGTTGTCAGGTATCCTTATATGATGCTTGATTTGTACGCAGATTGTAAATAGGTTCTGTGGTGGTTAGTTGAATAATTGTTGCACTGCTTGTAATCCAACGCATGCAGCCAGGGCAGGGATGGGACAGTTAAGTGTTGGGATCTTGAAGATGGGGGGTTGTCCAGGTATCCTGCTATCTTTCTGGTTTCACTTCTTGTAATTACTTAGTGCTTGTGACATGGTATCATGCAGCCTTGGTTGAATACTTGGTGGGCTTGCTTAGAATGTAATGTAGGCCGGTTTGTGCTTGGATGCTTTTAAGGATTACCAACTGAGCCCAATTTAACTTCTTTTATAAGTGTGCTTCCTCATAACTCAAGGAACTAGGATTATAGGTAGCTCCATTGAGATGTGGAAGCACTAATGTACAGCAGGTGCCTTATTTGTCAAGATTTGGGTTGAAAAAGATTAAATTATATTCACTAACAAAGTGGTTATTTTGTAGAGAATATGTGTTAATACTAAAGTTGTTTTATGGAAAACTGTGGTTCTTTATTTTTTATTTGGGATGGCTCAAATTAAGTGCAGTCAAGGGTCAAGGTTTTCAACATTGATATCCTTCTCCTTTAGAAAATTGTCAAAATATAATTAGACAATATGGAGATCACTACTTTTGATGTATGGAGGAGGTACTCACTACTCACATTTAATTACCTGGCGGGGCAGCGAATAGAAGTCTTTTATATAATAAAATAAATGACAAACATTTAGAGCACCATGATAATGTTTAGATATGGTTAGATTCGTACTTGTGGAATTATCCTACTATAGTTTTGGATGTTCAATGCCAGACTTGATAAATGGCAATGTTATTATTGTTAGTAGACTAGTAATGGATCGAATTTTGATGCAAATCCGATTAGCCGGATATAGATTAAAAAATTTCACCCATTATTCAAATTTGAATCTGTTATGTTATATTTAATGGGTTCGGATTTGGATATATCAAAATCCGATCCGTTAACAATCTTATCTAAATTGTATATATACCTTATATTTTTATATTTTATATCTTGTGAGTTTATATCCGCCGATATCGTTTTGTCTCCCACATTCTTTTTCTACTATCTTCTTCTTCCTTACTTATAACTGAAAATTGAGGTTGATAGATCTAGTTTATGTTGCTTGTTATGGCTTCAAATGAGTAAGTAATTATGTTTTTTTTTTGCTGTAGAGTTGAATATGACGCAATTTGTGAGATATTTGTAGGTTGATATTACTTTGTAAATAAATAGATTAAAGAAGTTTTCTTGGACCGGATATCCAAAAGTTAATGGATTTGGATATAGATTAAAAATTTCAAATCCGCCAGATAAGTGGATCAGATCAAATCAATTAAATTATAATCAGATTCGAAGCCGGATATGACATAATCCGATCCATTGACACATCTAGTTGCTTGATGGCTTTTAGATGCTAAGGCACCAAGAAAAATCTCTTAGGTATCAACCGTATCTTTGATTGCGTTGGTGACTATATTTTTTGTGTTTTTTTGTAAAAATATATTGTTTATATCTTTTAGGTTGCAAGTTTCCCTTATACAATGACTCATGAGCATATTGAGAACTTTTAGATAATGGCGATAACTGGCGGTCAATGCAGTTAGGAGGCATAGGAAATGGGTTTTAGCAAATGAGATAATAATCTACTTTTTTTGGCTTCTTTACCTCGTATACTTCGATCAAATGTGGTTTAGGTTAATCTTAGGTTGAAGTAGTGAGGTTTTCTAAATAATGTTTCCCGATACATGTATGCAAGCCTCTTATAGTGTCAGTTTTATTCTTGACAGGAATCCTTATCTCATGATCCAAACAAATTCTTACCACTTTTGCAAGCTTTCAATAGCGAAGAAGCCTTTTATGCAAGTGAGGCAAGATGCAGAGCTGAAGTATTGTGATATGGAGGTCAGGGAAAATGCTGATGCCCGTATTATGGATGACTGCCCAGGGCAGGCACAAAGAAGTCTAGAGGAAAGTTCCAGAACATTAAAAGGTTTCTTCTCTCTCTCTCTCTAGAAGATTTACTATTTACACCATTTCCCCATATTGATCTTCAGATACAATTCTTACTCTTCAGTTTGGACCATCAGACACTTCTTATGATATCTTAAAGGCTTCAATTTTTCTATTGGCATCAACATTTTGGTAAATAGGTAATATCATTAATCAAAAAGGTGAATTTCTTTAGATATCTGTTGTCTAATAGAAATGAAAGTTTCCTTTCTCTAACAAAAAACTATATTCAGAACAAAAAGCATGATCTTTTTATCACAGGCAACTGCAGCGGGATGTATCATTGTGTCAAGGTTTGAGATAAAACATATAAAATGAAAACTGCAATACTAGGGTGCAGCCAAACTTTGTACACGTAAATAACCCTAAACTTGTTTCCGCNGATATTACTTTGTAAATAAATAGATTAAAGAAGTTTTCTTGGACCGGATATCCAAAAGTTAATGGATTTGGATATAGATTAAAAATTTCAAATCCGCCAGATAAGTGGATCAGATCAAATCAATTAAATTATAATCAGATTCGAAGCCGGATATGACATAATCCGATCCATTGACACATCTAGTTGCTTGATGGCTTTTAGATGCTAAGGCACCAAGAAAAATCTCTTAGGTATCAACCGTATCTTTGATTGCGTTGGTGACTATATTTTTTGTGTTTTTTTGTAAAAATATATTGTTTATATCTTTTAGGTTGCAAGTTTCCCTTATACAATGACTCATGAGCATATTGAGAACTTTTAGATAATGGCGATAACTGGCGGTCAATGCAGTTAGGAGGCATAGGAAATGGGTTTTAGCAAATGAGATAATAATCTACTTTTTTTGGCTTCTTTACCTCGTATACTTCGATCAAATGTGGTTTAGGTTAATCTTAGGTTGAAGTAGTGAGGTTTTCTAAATAATGTTTCCCGATACATGTATGCAAGCCTCTTATAGTGTCAGTTTTATTCTTGACAGGAATCCTTATCTCATGATCCAAACAAATTCTTACCACTTTTGCAAGCTTTCAATAGCGAAGAAGCCTTTTATGCAAGTGAGGCAAGATGCAGAGCTGAAGTATTGTGATATGGAGGTCAGGGAAAATGCTGATGCCCGTATTATGGATGACTGCCCAGGGCAGGCACAAAGAAGTCTAGAGGAAAGTTCCAGAACATTAAAAGGTTTCTTCTCTCTCTCTCTCTAGAAGATTTACTATTTACACCATTTCCCCATATTGATCTTCAGATACAATTCTTACTCTTCAGTTTGGACCATCAGACACTTCTTATGATATCTTAAAGGCTTCAATTTTTCTATTGGCATCAACATTTTGGTAAATAGGTAATATCATTAATCAAAAAGGTGAATTTCTTTAGATATCTGTTGTCTAATAGAAATGAAAGTTTCCTTTCTCTAACAAAAAACTATATTCAGAACAAAAAGCATGATCTTTTTATCACAGGCAACTGCAGCGGGATGTATCATTGTGTCAAGGTTTGAGATAA